CACTAGTGCTGGGCCTGTGGCCACTTAGTCAGAGGTACCAGCCATGCTCAGGCCAGATGCTGCTTCTTTAAGAGATTTTAGTAATGCCTGAAGCATGAGCCAAGACAGGCCATTTGTATGGAAAAGCCACCGAAAAACAGTTTGGGTGGGCCTTTAAGTCTCAGGGAAGCACCATGGCAGGGTGACTAGTGTGAGCCAGGTTGATGAGACTCAGGCATGGTGCCTTCCTGGGGCTCTGTACAGGGAAGGCTCAGAAAAGGAACAATGGCCTCTGCCAGCACTTCCACCTGAGAGAAAGCTGCCCCTACAGCTCGTGTCCTGACGTTTGACAATTCAGTTCCTCCCTGTATGTCCCTGGTGCCTTTCAAGCTGCTGCCCCAGCACTGGAGCTCAGAGCAAGTGAGTCCAAGTAAGTCCATATAGGCCTTTTGAGAGGAACTGCCTGAGTCTCCAGCTGCACTCAGCCTCACTCAGCCTCAATCCTCACTGGATTTTACAACCAGAAGTTATGAGGACTTTGCTTCCTGGCACTGGTGGTATAGGCTGGCGAGTCTGGTGTGAGGCTTGGACACCTGTCTCTTCATGCAAGACCTCCACAGCCAAGATATCCCTCTTAATTTTTATCTTTTACATATGGGTGTAGGGCTATGGGACCAGTCCATTTCACGTCTTGACCCCTCCTACCAATCTCAATGTGGCTTCTTTATTATTATTATTTTATTTCAGAGAGGGTGAGGGAGAGAGAGGTAGAAACATCAATGATGAGAGAGAAACATTGATCGGCTGCCTCCTGCATGCCCCACATGGGATTGAGCCCACAACCCAGGCATATGGCCTGACTGGGGATCAAACCGTGACCTCCTGGTTCATAGGTTGATGCTCAACTATTGAGCTATGCTGGCTGGGCTCAATGAGGATTCTTTATATCCTTAATTGTAGGACTTCTGTTCAGCTAGATTTTAGGTGATTCTGAATGATGCTTATTCTGTAGTTCAGTTTTAATTTTGATGTGGTTGTGGGAGAATGTGAGTATCATGTTTACCTACAGCTCTATCTTGAACAGAACCAAACTTATATGAAGTCTTAAGACTTTAACTTTACATAACTAATTAAAAGATACATATTTTTTAACTTATTGATTTTTAGAGACAGAGAGAAAGGGAGAGAGAGAAAGGAAGGAGGGGAGAGAGAGACATTGATTTGCTGTTCCACTTATTATGCATTCATTAGTTGATTCCTGTATTTGCCTTGACTGGGGATAAAACTCACAACCTTGGTATATCAGGATGATGCTCTAAACAACAGAGTTGCCTGGCCAGGGCCTTGATTCTTCTTAATGAAACAAATTTAATAGTAATTATGATGACAATTATGATAACTTGAACTTCCATTTATACCAGTTTACACTTATAAAGCTTTCACACAGGTTATAACATTTAATTAGCAATTGGTACATGATAATAAATTGGTATTCACAGCATATTTTAACAATATACCCTTGTGTAGCATTACAATACCAACTTGATATTTAAAAAATTTTTGAGGTAAAAATCTATATCTTGGTCATAATTCTTTTACAATTGATACTTTATTTAATTTTTAAAATCTTTATTATTGAGAGTGTTACAAATGTCTCCCCTTTCCCCCCAATTGCTTACCTCCACCTGGTTCCCGCCCAACCCCAGGCCTTCACCACTCTACTGTCTGTGTCCATAGATAATGCATACAAGTTCTTTGGTTATTCTCTTCCTGCCTCCTCTCTCCTCCTTCCCTCTGAGATTTGTCAGTCTGTTTCATATTTTCATTCATCTGATTCTATTTTATTCATTAGATTTCTTGTTCATTTATTTTGATTTTTATTTCAATTGTTGACAGATATATATTTATTGGCATTTTATTGTTCATATTTTTTAAATCTTTTTTTTCCTTCTTTTTCTTCTCCTTCTTCCTCTTCTTAGAGAAAACCCTTCAACATTTCATGTAATACTGGTTTGGTGGTGATGAACTCCTTTAGCTTTTTCTTGTCTATGAAGCTCTTTGAGAGCTTTGCTGGGTAGAGTAATCTTGGTTGTAGCTCCTTGCTATTCACCACTTTGAATATTTCTTGCCACTCCATTCCAGCCTGCAAAGTTTCTGTTAAGAAATCAGCTGACAGTTGTATGGACGCTCCCCTGTAGGTAACTGTTTTTCTCTTGTTGTTTTTCTCTCTTTGTCTTTAAGCCTTGGCATTTTAATTATGATGTGTCTTGGTTGGGCCTCTTTGGATTCCTCTTGTTTGGGATTCTGTGCTTCTTTGGACTTGTAAGTCTATTTGTTTCACCAGGTAGAGGAAGTTTTCTGTCATTATTTCTTCAAATAGGTTTTCAATATCTTGCTCTCTCTCTTCTCCTTCTGGCATCCCCATGGTGAGAATGTTGGTATGCTTGAGGTTGTCCCAGAGGCTTCTTAAACTATCTTCATATTTTTGGATTTTTTTTGCTCTTCTGATTGGGTGTTTTTTGCTTTCTCATATTCCAAATCGTTGATTTGATTTTTGAAATCCTCTATTCTACTGTTGAATCCCTGTAAATTATTCTTTATTTCAGTTAGTGTATGCTTAATTTCTAATTGGTCCTTTTTCATGTCTTTGAAATTCTCACTAAGATCCTTCAAAGTCTCACTAATTCCCTTGAAGCTCTCATTGAGTCCCTTGAAGCTCTCATTATTAAGTCCTTTGAAGCTCTCATTAAGTCTCTTGAAGCTCTCATTAAGGCCCTTGAGCATTCTTATAACCATTGTTTTGAACTTTGTATCCAGTAGTTTGATCCCTTCCATTTCTTTCATTTGTGACATGTTTCTTTGTCTCCACATTTTGGCTGCTTCCCTGTGTTTGTTTCTATGTATTAGGAAGAGCTGCTATGTCTACTGGAATTGGCAGATTGGCTTTGTGTATTAGGTGTCCTGTAGTGCCCAGGGGCTCAGCCTCTGCAGTCACCTCAGTTGGGCACTCAAAGTGTGCCTCTGTGTGGGCTGTGTGCACAGTCTTGTTATAGTTGAGCCTTGACTGCTGTTGGTGTCACTGAGAGGAAGTGAACTCCAGACCAACTGGATGCAAGGACTAGCTGAGACTACAGTAGAAGAGCTGCTATGCAGGAAACACCCCTATGGAGCAGGACTTGCTTCAGTGGGGCTTTGGTGCTCACTGAATCTGCCTCTTTAATGTGTCGCTCATGGATGTGTAGAGTTGTAATCTGGTATGGTCTGAAGCTTTCCACTGGGTGCACTGGTTCTGGGGCCTCCTGGTAGTCAGCCACTGCCTGGGACTACCTGGCAGGAGCTACAGAGAGGTCGGCAGATGGCTGCTACTTGTATTTTGCTTGTAAGTCTCCAGGCAAGGACCAGCTGTGTAGCAAGAAAGGCTGGTGCTAGTGCCAGTCTTGGGTCTTTTATTGATAGGTTTGCAGCACGCTGATGCCAGCTGCTGCTTGTTTGAAAGATTTTAACAAAGTCTGAAGCCTGAACCAGGACAGGCCATTCATATAGAAAAGCCACTACAAACAGCTTGGGTGGGGCTGCAAATTGGATGGGGTGGGGTCTCAGGGAATCACCAGGGTAGACGGAACAGTGAGCCAGGTTGATATGGCCCCTGCTGGTCAGCTCTGTGACATGGGAGATCCCAGCACAGGAACAATGAACCCTGTGAGCACCCCTATCTGAGAGAAAGCTGCCCCTGAGTTCTTGCCCTGATGCCCGACAATCCAATTCTTCCCCAAATGTCTCTGGTTCCTTTCAAGTCATGGCCCCAGCACTGGAGCCAGAGGGATTGAGTCTGAGTAAGTTCATGCGCTGGCCCTTTAAGAGGAATACCTGGGTCTGCAGTAGCCCCTGAGTCCCTCAGCCACAATTCCCCACTGGTTTTTACAGCCTGAAGTTATGAAGACTTCTCTTCCCAGCTCTGGAACCCTGGGCTGGAGGTCTGGTGTTGGGCTGGGATCCCTTGCTCCTCACTGGGGTGGGGCTCTGCAGCTGAGATATCACTCCCGATTAAGAAAACAGCACATGTGGATATAGGACCAGCCCATTCCGCCCTCTGCCCCTCCTACCAGTCTCAATGTACTTTCTTCTTTACTTTTCTAGTTGTAGGACTTTCATTTAGCCAGCTTTCAGGAGGTTCTGAATGATGGTTGTTCTGTATTTTTGTTGTAATTTTAATGTGGTTGTGGGAAGCTGCATATACCGGCATTTACCTACACCGCCATGTTGGTTCTCTCCCCTACACTTGATACTTTGAAAAGACTGTAAAACTTTCCGATCACATCTTCAAAGCAAAAACAAGGTAACCACATTTTGAAAGCAAATATGGAATTTAGACTTAATTATCCAAGATAAAAAAGTCTAAGGTAAAAAATATATCTTTTATGAAAGGCAGACACTTAAAAAAAACACATTAAACTTTTAAATATTCTTGGCTCAAATTTAGGAGAAATTATTCTTTTAAATAAGTAAAGTTAAGTACATTGTTACTCCACATACTTCATGGAACATGGAACATGGAAATATATTTAAAATGCTCCCCTGTATGTTAATGTTATTCTCAAAGCCATCTCTACTATACTAGTGAAAAAGTACTATGTTGTATACAATTAACTGCTTCTTAGTTTCCATGGGTCACAGGACTCTCAAATTAAAATTAAGTCTATAAACTAACTTATTCTCTAAAAATTAAGTCTGGAAAATGACTAAATAAATTACTTTGTATGGTGGAAAATTATAATTATTTGCCTATTAATACAATCCACTAAAGAGTATGAGTCTACTGAACTTCCTCCTATTGGAAACTCACTTTTGACAGAACTTTATCCTAAAACTAGGATTTTAGTTATTGTTTTTCCTTTATGCCAGAGCAGAAAAAAAATTCAACTTCATTTTACTGACAGAAGCCCCAACATCACTCAGTTAAGTTATAGAAGGCTGACATTTTGAAAATTAACAGACAGTAGTTTTTGGCCCGTATGGGATACCTGTTCTTTTATTTCTTTCATTTTTTCCAATCTCTTGAGTTTTGTTGCATATTCTTGAACTTCTTTTAATCCAATATCTGTGCAGAGACGAACCAAGAAACGCAGACCTAAATTGTAAAAAATATATTTAGAAAAGTATTTGTGTATTGTGTTGAAAGTATAACAAATCATTAACCATAATCTTTTGGGACACAGGAATGATGCTCATGAACAGTGATTGTTTCTCTCTTGAAAATTGTGTTATAGAATTGTGCACTTGAATCCTATATAATTTTGTTAAACAATGACAGCCCAATAAAAATTTTTTAAAAAGTATCTACACTCTGTATTTTCTTGACCTGGCAAGATGGACTTCCCTGAAAGGGGTTTAAAGGGACTCTTTTGACTCTGGCCAAGTAGGTCATTTGGTTGGAGCGTTGTCCTGCTACACCAAGGTTACAGGTTCGATCCCCAGTCAGAGAACAAACAAGAATCAACCAATAAATATATAAATAAGTGGAACAACAAATCAATGTTTCTCTCTCCTGCCCACTCTCTCTAAAAATCAATAAATTAAAAATAAAATAAAAAAATAAAGGGACTCTTCACTGACCTGTCCACACCACCTATAATCAGAGCCCTTCCAATATTATGCTTTACCCTCCGTCTGCTTTCCTTCATGGCACTTCTAACTTCTGACATATTCTACAAGTGTGTTCTCTTGTCTTCCCACTAGCAAGCTCCATGAGGACAAGGACTTTCATCTGTATTGTTTTCTGCTCAGTGCTATGCCAACACAGTAGTTAAAAGAAGTTCAAGAATATGCCACAAAACTCCATAAGAACTTGTAAATAAATGATCTATTCATGACCATTGTTTTGCAAAGTAACAGTACTAAAATAATTTAAAATGTCATATTTTAGCATATAAATTGCCTATGCATACATTAATAATTCATAATAAGGTAATTTACATTTCCTATAAATAATACACAACTATTCCTTTTTATCTACCTATCCTTAGAGTGACTTAGGAATATTTAGTGTGAAACAAAAAATTACTGTTTTTGGTAGATGTCCTCTGAAATTCAGTACATCAATTGTAACTCCATAGTGCAGGTCAATTTTTGGTAAATGAAGAATATATTTTAAGACTAAATTATCTGTTGGGTTCACCGGAAAACTACTCTGCTCAAAACAACACATTCCATGGGTGCAAATGTTTTCCTAAGACTACAGTTAAGATAGACTATTGGTGACATTTGTTTTGAAAATTATTCAGGCCAAGGTCATCTTGAACATTCCCTGTGGCACAGGTAAACATTCATTTAATATTTAGAGTGAACCTTAAATTCTCCATAAAGAAAGACATTTGGCGTTGCTTGGAGACAGTCCCTTTACTGGTCCAGTGCCAGGTGCTCAGGTTACTGCAGTGATTCTGAACAGGCAGCAATCCCGCCCCCAAGGGACACTTGGCAATGTCTGGGGATATTTATGTTTTTTATAACAACAGTGTGGGGGAAGTGGGGAGTGCTACTGTCATCTAGTGGGCAGAGGCCAGGAGTACTGCTAAAACACTGCAATCCATGGGATCCAGAATGGTCCAGTCCCAACATCAGTGGTCCTGAGAGACTTTTGCCCAGGTGACTTTTGGGTTGCATCATTTCCACAGAAAATATCACTGCTCTCTCTCATTTAATCTCTAAAGCACCAATTCCCTAATGTGACGGAGAATGAGAATCAAATAATAAGCTTAAATAGGGAAAATTAAATATCTGGGTTCACCGAAAACCTATGTGAGAATCTCTATAAATAGGGCAATAAAACTGTAGTTTTTGAAAGTGTAACAAGGAATCCCTTCCAAGTAACCTGTTTCCTGACTGGCTTCGGAAACCACTATTGTGGGTTAATCAATCTGCTCTAATTAGCACTAGAAATTCCTTACTCCTAAGCTATCAGTAACACCGTACCTGTGAGCCAGCTGCTGCTGAGCTTTTATAAAAGCCAAAGTGAGGAAAATGTTAATTAAGGAAGGGCAGTACTTCTAATCCCAGGATCAGGCTGGGCCACTGGGAAACTTGGCTCAGAAACATTGATTTTACTGAGTTGCAATGTGCTGTTTTGTGTTCATTATCACTGAAGGACAAAATTAAAAATAGTCTGTCCAAGTATGCTATTTTATTTGCTGTAGGGATGTTTTAAAGCAAGGAGCTGCATTATCTTTCAATGACTTTATCTACTATATCTCTCAGTGTCTCCACTTGAATGAATTAGAAGTTGAAAAATGTTTCTTCTTCCCAAGGAATTGCTTTTTATTTCCTCATAAACAGTAAAGATTATAGAACAGATTGTCTTTTATCTCTTTCCCGTAGCCGCAAGGCTATTCAGGGCCAAATATACAGTCTAGTGGAGATATACCGCATATGAATATGGTTATTTTGTGTTTTTCCTGATCCTGATTTGTTGTTATTGCTGTAATACTTCACACTATTTTAAGTTACATCAAATCCATTGTACATCAAGATGGGGAATATAGATTTGTTTACTTTTGAAGAGAATTCAATGGTTCTCTTCAAATGTAAATCCATCAACAATTAAATTCTATAAAAATGTGGATAGTCAGATTCTCTGATCCTGTAAACTCCTATTTAAACATATTTACCACAATTATAACTTGGTATCTATGTACACAATTACTGTAGCAAATGTAAAATAGGGTATAAAACATGAGAACCTATACTTTCAAAGCTACAAAATGTAATCTCACTTACATTCAACATTTTCTGGAAATTTTCTGTGAATATCTTTATAAGTATCTAATGCTTTTTGGTAGTTACCTACAAACAAAAAAAGAAAGAGAAACACACTAGGAGATTATAGAAATTAACAGGATTCAGCAAAAACAATTTTAATCCAATATACTGGCATCACTTAATAGCTTTATCAGGAAGAATTTTTTTTTTAAGCAGGAAGACTTTCATGTTTGCCTCAAGCATATGTAACAGTTCTTAACATAACTTTTGGAAGAAAATGTATAGACAAAACAAATTTGAAAAGGTTTAGAGTAGAAGGAAATGAATGGTGGTTAACACTTAGTTCCACTTCTTAAAATAAATGTTTGTGGTACAAATTAAGATCCATTCAATTTCCTAAAAATTAAATATTTCAAGTGAACAACTGAAAATTTAGAAAAATTTACATGATAGAGTTAATAACTTCAATGTCATTCACTTAGTTGGAAAAGATGAAACATTTTTTTGTAGTTATCATTTTGAAACATTAAAATGTTTATAGGAAACATTTTGTTTTGTAATAAAATAATTGATCTTCATGAAACAGCAAAGAATTAGATAAATGAATTTTGGGTCAAAGGTCTTGGCAAAAATCTCAGTGAATGAGCTAAGAATCTCTCTGGGCCTCAGGTCTCAAGAAGGATGGCTGTGCTAACCTCAAAGTGTTGTTGTGAGAATGAAATCAAATAGAGAGGAAGCATCTAACTCATAGCAGGTTCTCAATAAACATTAGTTTCTTTTCTAACCTGCCCTTCAATAACTCAAGAAGGTGTATGTCTTTAAATTATTCAGAATACCCCATGTATGTACACTCTACATATGACTGATGTGGAAATGAACAGAGGCAATCAGAACTCAGCTGAGATAAATAAAGTGTATATGTTATATGTTATTCGATAGGACACACCGTCTCATTATAGATTAACCCTCTCAATGACTTGAGGATGACACAGAATACGTATTTTGATGGCACTCTGAAGGAGCTCACAGAGATCCATCAAGAAAGAAGCTACAGCACTAGGCAAGAGAACCCTGTTAACACTTTTATAACAAATGCTTCCCTGGGATTGAGGAGTTTCTTTTCCTGGGTCATATGTATGCTCTACAAGAGCGATCACATATTTGTTAACGTTCGTCTCCTGTTCAATCTCTGTATTTTAAACATCATTCATGTCAGTTCAAAACTATTAACATTGCTACCCTTCAGGGCAGAGGTCAACAGCACAGAACCTAGTAGAGCAATTGCTGGAAACACAAATGATATCTGGTATAAAAATATAAATCCAGTGTTCCAGTCCTGGGCCTTCCTCAGGAAGGTGGAGATAGTCTCATTAATGTGGCCACACACATAGGACATTTAGAATTAGGTGGCAGAAAATGGAATATAAATTGATGTGTACAGAATGCCTGTTTTTTCTGTGGCTAACTTGTGAAAATGATTACATGTTAACTTTGAGAGATAATAAATCTGTGTCTAACAGCGGTGCTGAAATACATGATTAAGACCTACTTTTAAAGCATAACTTTTTTCTGTCTGTAGTAATTATTATGTTTTTCATATAATGCTTCAAATATGTGTAGTTATCAAAAGTTAATGTTTTAATAAATAAATATGCAATTGGAATACATTTTATGCATAATTACCTAAGAGACAAAAGCAGCAAAATATGTTAAAAATAAATAAAATAAAAGCATTTACCACTTCTTCTAAAACAACTAGCTACCATCAGCTGCCATTTCACTTGCGTGGGCCTATAAGAGAAATAAATGATATGAAATTAGAAAGGAAAAAATAATCTGAGATGGTCAAATATATTTATAAAGCTACAGATATGTACTATCTTTCAATTACTTTTTGATCTCTGATTAGATCATCTTTATTATTGAAAAGAGAATACATTATCTGTCATATTTATATTAATAAATTTAAATTTTAGAGCCCTTCAATCCAGTTCATGCCTTTATTTAGAAATTTTTATAAGAAACATTAACCTGTTTGGTTAAAGATCACTGCATTCTATTTTTTTATTATTAAGTCCTTTTTTAAAAAATAATTTTTTATTGTTGAAAATATTACATATGTCCCCGCTTCCCCCCAGTGACTGCTATTTTTAAACATTATTATTAGTTTTGCCATAATCTTATACCTAGGCTTAGAAATCTAGGCTTAGGCTTGCAAATTTAGCACCTAAGAGGCAATTTTTGACCTTGTGTTTGAACAATGAGGCTTCAACTAAAGAGGGAATAAAAAAGAATTCTAACCCTAACTGGTTTAGCTCAGTGGCTAGAGCATTGGCTTGCAGACTGAAGGGTCCCAGGTTCGATTCTGGTCAAAGGAACATGCTCGGGTTGTGGGCTCGATCCCCAGTAAGGGGCGTGCAGGAGGCAGCCGATCAATGATTCTCTCTCATCATTGATGTTTTTATCTCTCTCTCCCTCTTCCTTCCTCTCTCTGAAATCAATAAAAACACAAAAAGAGAATTCTATTCATCCCTCCCTTTCCCTTAATAATAATTTTCTAAAATAAATAACCATAATCAGGATTTCTAAAGACTATTAAAATATTTAAGAAAAACAAGATATAAAACACTAGGGAATAATTAATGCTCTTCTCATTTCCTTTTAGAATCTCCCTTCTATTTACTTGATGGCTTTATAGTCATGGCTCCTACTGAATTGGATGGTAAACCTACTAGCTCTCGAAATACACAGGTCATAGCCCTGCTACCTATGCAAGTTACTAGTACTCAACCTCAAATCCACTGCCTACACAGCCATCTGCTTTCATCTACATAAAATATATATCTAACCATATTATTTTCCTCCTTAAAATCCATCACCTCTCCTTCAACTGCATGATAATCCAAGATCCCAATCCCATTTTCTCACTTTTTGTCACTTTTTGCCTCTCCATGAGTTTTCCACCATGCCCTGCTACGACAAAATTCAGACAGGAACACGAATGCCTGCATGCTACATGTCTACACTCTAGTTCTCAGCACAGGCCAGCCCCTCCACACGAAGGCTTCTGCTGACCTCATCACACTCTGCTGGGCAGGCTGGGATAGACTGTTCCATGGACTTGCTCAGCACTCTACAGTTTCATATGGCACTTAATATTCTGCAGTGTTATTTAGGTTTCTGAACCTTATTAATCCATAAACTTGTGAGGGTAGCATAGCCTTTGTATACGAAGGACTGGGCATGACGCTTGACACATACTGGGTGTCAATATTCACTAAGTACTCCTTCTTTGCATATTCTATTACATATCTTGATTGCTTCCTTCAAGGTCAGGACTGTGAAATTTTTAAAAATATGTTTTTATTGATTTTTAGAGAGAGGAAGGGAGAGGGAGAGATAGAAAGATCGATGAGAGAGAAATAACGATTGGCTGCCTCCTGCATGCCCACTACTGGGAATTAAGCCTACAACCTGGGCATGTGCCTTGACTGGGAATCGAACCTTGACCTCCTGATTTCAAGGTCAATGCTCAATCACTGAGCTATGTCAACTGTGCCAAGTTCATTTCTTGAATGAATGCCTATTTTTCTCCTCCATCCTCATAGTAAAGAAAAATACCATTATTTTACAGATAGCATAAGTAAGATATATAAAATAATGTACCAAAAAATTATAGCAAATTGGCTATAAATTGCCTAGCACAGTATAATAAATACAGAGCTGTAATAAAGGCTTTAAGTATTTTAAATCTGCAATGATTTGGATTTAAGTTAGAGAATGATGGTATTTTAGAAATAGAAGTGGCCTCAGATAGTATTTCATTCTATCCATTCACCTTAAAAAAAGAAACAGACCAGCCAAGGGTAAGAGCTATGTCTAAGGTCACACCCCCAACAGTATATACCAGTATAATATCCCCTATTAATCCCTTATTTCACACTTCCACAAAGCAATGGGATGAAGTTTGAAAATTGCCACCGGGGAGAATTATTTCTGTGTTTGGAATAAATAAGTAAGTACCTGAAAGAGAATCATGACTTGGTTTTAAGAGGGCAGAGTAAAGACTTTTAACGTTGCAATGTCTCTTCTAGAAATTAACCCCAAAAAACAAGAAGGAGAAAGGCAGTCTCAAGCTCCACCTCAGATGAAACTGGAATGGTATAAAGCCACAGACAGATGATGGGTGATGGATGAAGGAGATAGAAACTGCCTTCAGCAGGGCAGAAAAAGCTAAACTCAAGGGTATACAAAGGGCATGTGAGGAGAAGGAGATCTTCCCTGAAAATCTCCGGGAATGCTGGAAAACTGGAATCAGCAGGACAGAGGAGGGAGGACACGGCAAGGAACTACAACAGGAAGACAGACTAGCAATGTTACTGGGAAGTAGCTGGCCCCCATGCTCTAGGACAGTGGTTCTCAACCTGTGGGTCATGACCCCTTTGGGGGTCGAACGACCCTTTCACAGGGGTCGCCTAAATACATCCTGCATATCAGATATTTACATTACGATTCATAACAGTAGCAAAATTACAGTTATGAAGTAGCAACGAAAATAATTTTATGGTTGGGGGTCACCACAACATGAGGAACTGTATTAAAGGGTCGCGGCATTAAGAAGGTTGAGAACCACTGCTCTAGGAGTTACTCAGGGAGGCTGTAGTCAGGACTCAGGCTGGTTTGAGATGAGAAATGAAAACTGGAGGATGAAGTGAGAAGTCACTTCTGGAACAGTGAGGCCCTAAGCCGGGCCCCTTCCAGCTACTGGAATGGCAGCAGTCAGGTTGATACTTTTCCTTGAACACATCAAATGGCCCCAGAGAAAAGACTTTCGAGTTTTAAGATGACAATCTCAGTGACAAAGCCATATGATTAACATGCTCTCTTCTAGTGCAGTGTTTGGTGGAAGGTGCTGTTAGCATTTGGGGTGACACTGTTCACTATGCAAATCCTCTACACATTGCTGAGTGTTCACCATCTCAGGCAGCTGCACACCTAATACCCACTGTGTGTCCCCATCATCAAGACCATAAAATGTCCCTCCCCCACATTTCCAAATGGTGCCACTAGGGTGGGGCAGTACTCCTTTCTTGGCTTGTATTATCTTTTTTCTTTAACTTTTAAATCTTTCATTGTGAAGTATAACACATGGAAAAGCACACAAAACATGGCTGTACAGCTCCGTAAATTGTCTTAAAGTGAATACACAAGTAACTGCTCTGCAGTTCAAGAAACAGGACACTGCCAAGACCCCAGATGTGTCCTTCCTGCTCCCTTCCACCATCCCCTCCTTCACCTGTGACGGTAACTATCATCCTGACTTTAAAACTGTTGACTTAGTCTGTTTCTGAACTTCACATGAATGAGCTAACATAGCATGTATCCTTTTGTAACAGCTTTGAGACATAACTCATGTAACATATAATTCACCCATTTAAAGTGTGTAATTCAAAAGCTTAGATATATTACATTAATAATTTTAAAAAGTTATCATTAAAACAGATATAACAAAAACTTGTCATTTTAACCATGTTTAGGTACACAATTCAGTGGCATTAATTACATTCGCAATGTTGTGCAACTATCACTGTCATTTATTTCCAAACTCTCTTACCAAGGCAAAGAAACCAGCACCCCTCCATAAAGTGGAAATTCTGATGTATGGCACAGAAAATAAATGCTCAGGAAGAGGAGAGGTAACCAATGCATATGGAATGTCTCGGTCATTTAGTCAGAAGGAAGCAAATCTAGATGCAAGTGGAAGCAAATTTATAGGGAAGCAGGGAGAAGGAAATATTAGGGGAGTTCCTGGAAAAGGCTTTTATTTTCAGGTAAACTGAAGTACAAAATAGAAAGTTGAGGTGATCTGTGAGGGAAATAAAAAGGGGAGTTAATGAGAAACACATCAGATTGATGAGCAGTGTTCACATAACACAAATATGTGTGGCATCAGTTTACCTATGTATGATAGATCTTCCCAGGCTGCAAACAAGAGTGAAAAGGCTGTATCAACCCAAGAAATTTTGAGGGACAAATGGGACAGCAAAGTAACCAAAGAATGTTGGCAAGAAAGAGCACAGATGTGAACAACGAAGCAGCCTAGGAAGAATGGGTTCAGAACTAAAGCCTGGAGAGCCTGTGAGAGGAAGGAGGGTCAAGAGACTAGAGGTCTTGGTCTTACCTGACAGAGGTACACTGGAGAGTAGGGGTGAGGAAGAAGAGAGGTTATGTTTAGACAGCTGGGTGTTATAATAAATATTTTATTGGTAAAAATATGCTGGGTGGTAATCAATCAAGTAAGATCTAGATGGCTAATCTAGATCAATGAATTTGGGGAGGTTGACACTTGTGAGGCTAGACTACTGATGGGATAGAAAGAGCATGAACTAGACGAGGTCAACATGTGACATTCATTTGGGAACAATGGTAGATGGAGTCTCAAAGGAGGAAGGGTCTTACCTGAGCTAACAGGGTTAGAATTAGGATCTAATCTAATAAAAGAGAAACATGCAAATTGACCGCACCTCTGCTATGCCCCAAGCCATGCCCACCAGCCAATCAGAGCGACTATATGCAAATTAACCCAACCAAGATGGCGGCTGGCAGCCACGGAGCTGGAGCAAGCAGGATGCTTGGTTGCCCCAGCGATGGAGGAAGCCAAGTTTCCAGCCTGCCCTGGCCGGCTGTGGCCTCCGCTCAAGGCAACAAAGTTTCAATTATAGAAGATAAATAAATCCCAGATACCTGCTTCCAGCCAGCCTCCACTGGGAGCTTGGGTGGCTGGGGGCCATGGCCAGCCTGCAAACAGCCATCAGCCCCTCACCCAGGATGGCCACACCCTCAGGGGGTGAGGGTCCCCGCTGGGGGGCTTGGCCAGCCTGCAAACAGCCATCAACCACTCACCCAAGCTGGCCACACCCTCATGGGGTAAGGGCCCCTGCTGGGGGGCTTGGCCAGCCTGCAAACAGCCATCAGCCCCTCACCCAGACTGGCCAGCACCCCAGCCAGACCCCCCCACCCTGAAGGGGGTGTGGCCAGCCTGAAAACGGCCCTCAGCCCCTCACCCAGGCTGGCCAGGCACCCCAGCGGGGACCCCCACCCTGAAGGGGCTTGGCCAGCCTGAAAATGGCCTTCAACCCCTCACCCAGGCTGGCCAGGCACTCCAGCAGGACCCCCACCCTGATCCGGGACACCCTTCAGGGCAAACCAGCCAGCCCCCACCCATGCACCAGGCATATAATAAAAGGGTAATATGCAAATTGACCCTAACAGCAGAAGGACTGGGAATGACTGGTCACTATGGCACACACTGACCACCAGGGGGCAGATGCTCAATGCAGGAGATGCCCCCTGGTGGTCAGTGTGCTCCCACAAGGGGAGCTCTACTCAGCCACAAGCCAGGCTGACGGCTGCCAGTACAGCGGTGGTGGTGGGAGCCTCTCCCACCTCCTCAGCAGCGCTAAGGATGTCCGACTGCAGCTTAGGCCTGCTCCTCGCTGGCAAGTGGACATCCCCTGAGGGCTCCCGGGCTGCCAGAGGGATGTCTGACTGCCAGCTTAGGTCCAATCCCCCCAGGGAGCGGGCCTAAGCCAGCAGGTGGTCATCCCCCGAGGGGTCCCAGACTGTGAGAGGGCACAGGCTGGGCTGAGGGACCCCCCCGCCCCAGTACACAAATTTTTGTGCACCGGGCCGCTAGTTAAGTATAATAAAAAGGTTACAGTGCATTATCTCTGCAGCTATATCTAGAGCATATAATTAAAGTTAAAGCTATCCCGCTATGCTTTTCATTTTATAATTCTCAAAATGTTCAGTGAAACAAATGTCATAAAAATTAATTATATAATACAAATTCTACACAGAGATCACTCAAATTATTAAGCATTCCTTTATCATTCAAATGATTCAAAGTCATATTTAATGTTAAAATTAAATTTGGCCAAATACAAAGTAGAATATTATATACTAGTATTTCAATTATTTTTGAAACATACATGTACAAAACACTGATATAAAATTAAAGATATCTTTAGAAGTTTAATTTTTAATATACAATGTATATCAATTATAAATTGAAACTTATTTCAGAAATGAAACTTTGTTCTAGAACTGAGATAGTAATTTTCTTTTTTTTCTGGGGAAGTAAAAAAAATTTTTTCTTTTTCTTTTTTTAACTTTATTTTTCTCTTTAAAAAATTTTATTTTTCAATTACAGTTTACATTCAATATTATTTTGTATTAGTTTCAGGTGTACAGCATAATGAATAGACAATCATATAATTTATTAAGTGCTTCTTTGATATTTCCAGTGCTCACCTAACACCATCCATAGTTATTATAATGTTATGACTACATTCCCTATGCTGTACTTTATATCCCGTGACTATTTTGAGATAGTAATTTTTCTGGCTGATAAAGAAACAATACTTGTTTGCTGAGATATGAATAAGAAAAATACATAAAGAAAAGTATTTTAAAGCAGGTATTTTAAAAACTTTTGCATAAAAAGGAAACATATTTATCACAATAAAGACCAAGTAAAATGGAACATAACACAAGAAAATGGAAATAATGAATGTTCATTAATATTTGTTCATGAACTTAATGTGTCTATCAGATTCTAATTCTATAAATAAAATAAAATCCCATCAGGAGACATTAAATTAATCATAAACATAAAAATGGTTACTTACTGTATAAGAGCAGCTCTTTCAAAGTATTGAATGGCTTTTTCACAAAATTGGGTGTCAATATAATAGGCTCCAAGCCACTCAATGACTTCAATGTTAGAAGGGAAATACCTGTATGACTAGAGAAAATACAGAACATGACAATACAACTTCAGTTGCAATACATAATTTACTTCTTGGACATTTTACCTATTGAGTGGATTAATGTATCCAGTATAGAATTTCTTAATAAAAGAAGTATGAGCCGTCATATGCACTTCAAAAGATTTTGAAACTATACAAGATTTAGAAAACAAGACTTGTTTGACACATTTTTTGACTATCTGTATCTTTTTTATGTACTGATACATAATCTGAGTCAAATTAAATATGTAATAGAATAAAAGACATGAAAATCATGTGTCGAGAAAAATGAGTCTGTACTAATTTCATTTTTTATTAAAATTAATAAACAACTAACTTTATATTCCACAAATGTTTAATTTTAAATCATTATTCATTTAAAAACTAATAAACATTTATACAGTGTAGTGATGGCCAGAGGGAGGGGGGCAGGGGCTGGTAGAAGGTGGGTAAAGGGGGGAACATTGGGGGACATCTGTAATAGTATCAACAATTTTAAAAACTGTAAGTTAAAAGGCCACTGCATTTTATAAAACAATTCATAAAAGCTAAAAAGTAGAAGGAAAGATTATCCGCCTACCTCATAGTAGTATTGAAATGCTTGCGACTTATCTCCTTCACTATCATATAATTCTCCTAGTTTAGACAGAGCTCTAGAATCAGTTGGAACAACACTGATCAGCTGCATTAACCATTCAATAGCTTGATTGGGATCTTCCATTAATTCGTATCTTGGACAATTTCAGTTAAGGATAACACAGTTATTCTGAATTCACTGATCAATAAGCAAACCTAAAAATAACGTTACAACAAAAATGATTCAAATGATTCCCTAGGCCAGTGGTCGGCAAACTGTGGCTCGAGAGCCACATGCGGCTCTTTGGCCCCTTGAGTGTGGCTCTTCCACAAAATACCGACTTCTGCGCATGGGCCACAAAGTTTCAATCGCACTGTATGTACGCGCCTGCACGCGGTATTTTGTGGAAGAGCCACACTCAAGGGGCCAAAGAGCCGCATGTGGCTCACGGCCGAAGTTTGCCGACCACTGCCCTAGGCTATAGTGATGTGCTATCTAATACTATTTATTCTGGATTTCCTTAGGGATGAAAACGGAAAATGGAGCAGCACTGTACGTAACTCTTGTTCCATGTGTACACTTGGCTTTTCCTTTGCTCATTTCCATCCATAGTATTGATTTCCAAAGCATTGTCCAAAGTTTGTCCTTAATAAAATGCCCGAGTGTTGTATTCAACCATCCTACCTCTTGCAACACATTCAACATATTCAGGGCATAGTTTCATGTATTTTCCTGTGAGTTTTCCTAATTAGATTATGAGCCCCACATAGGAAGTTCTTTTTTTTGTAGCCTTTGTGCTTAGTAGGTCCTTTGCATACACTCAGATACCTTGTTCACACCTATTCTAATCCTTTTTTTTGAAAAATAAGAGCCTCCTGTTTTTAATAATGAAAAATGTGATACCATAAGGAAAACATAAAAATAAGGAAATATATTCAAATAGCCTTAAGCATATCAATTACTTTACTGGGTCCAAATTGATCACGATACTGGCAATTTCAGAGAAATTAAATAGACAAAACGAAAAGGCTAAAAGAAATAATTATTAAGTAATTTGCTCTACAACTAAATTTTTTAATAAAATTTTTTAATAAAAATTTTTAAATCTACTCTACCAAAAATATGCCAGATAGTACTTAAACTTATTAATGGTGCCCTGGCTGGTATTTCTCAGTGATTAGAGCATCAAACCATGTGCCAAAGAGTTGCACTTTCGATTCCTGGTCAAGGGTACACACCTGGGTTGAGGGTTAGCTCCCCACCCCTAGTCAGGGTGTGTTCGGGAGGCAACAAGTTGATGTGTCTCTCTTATGTTGATGTTTTTCTTTCTCTCTCCCCCTTCCTCCCTTCCTTCCACTTTCTCTGAAAAGCAATGGAAAAAATATCCTCAAGTGAGGATTAACAAAATTTTTAATGGTACACTTCATAATATACTTTTTTCTAAATGTATTTGCATAAAGTTTATATCAAGATAATAATAACTTAAACCTTCATAAAATTTTAATCCTTCCCAAAGTTTTCAAAGCTTATTATCTCTAAATATAAAAGCCTAAGTGACCGAATGACCAGACAACCGAATGACTGGTCAACTGGTCGCTATGACACGCTCTGACCACCATGGCAGACGCTCAATGCAGGAGCTGCCCCCTGGTAGTCAGTGCACTCCCAGAGCCAACCTCCTGTGGCTGGCCAACCTCCCACAGTCCTTCCCCCCAGCCAGCCGGGTGGTCAGTGTGCTCCCACAGCCAACCTCCGGTGGCTGGTCCACCTCCCACGGTCCCTCCCCCCCGGGCCGGCCAACCTCCCTCAGTCCCTCCCCCATGGCTGGCTGGCCCCAGTCGGCCCCGATCAGCCCCAATCGCCAGCCAGGCGGAGGGATCCCACCCGTGCATGAATTCGTGCACCGGGCCTCTAGTTTTTAAAATAAGAAGAGAAATTAAAGTTTTTTTTTCAAATAGTGTCAAAGACATTAAAAACATTAACAGATTTCTGCTCTTCCAACCAAGAGCAGGGAAAAAAATCAACTACAGAAAAGCTAAGAGTTGCAGAAGAAACTGACAGGAGAGCAATGTTTTGTATTTCAGCAGGTCCTGATCCTAAATAAAATATGGCACATACAGTCCACAGTCAATGAGTAGACTACTGAGTGAACAGAAAGAATAAGTTCAAATTCAATTAATAGTACTAATCAGTAATAAACAATATTTTCCTTTTAATTAGTAAGTTACTGCTTCAAAAAAAACCCTCTAAAACTCAGAGTTAATACATTGTAAACTATCTAATTTACATTTGATAATTAGCTTATGAGTACTCAACACATTATACTCAATTACTTTAATGATTATTTCTAAAAATTAATAATAGTTTTAACCTTTAAATAATTCCTCCTACAATGCAAATGATCCTTTAAAACAGGATTGCTCAAATAATATTTTCATTACATATTAATCTATTAGGTTTTAAAGTATTATCCTCATCAATTACTTAGTTGGTTAAGCTTACTTAATAATTGGTACACAATTACCAACTGAATGAATTAATAATGATCCCTAAATTTTTCATGTAAGATACACATTGGCTATTTGGTACAAAACTTGAGCGCTGTTTCTCAGAATTGCATGAAGCTTCAGGAAACAGTCCAAAGCCTCGTCAAGCCGGTTTAGCTTCTTATAGGTAAGGCCTTAAAAGAAGAAAAGAAAAAAAGAAAAGTTATAAGGAATTTTCTCAGAGTAACAAAATGAACATTTAAATATATGTAAATATTCATCCAGAAGAAAAAATAAAGATGAACAGGTTATTTTGTTATTGTTAATCCTCACCAAGGATATTTTTCCATTGATTTTTAGAGAGTAGAAGGGAGGGTGAGAGACAGAGAGAGAGAAACATTGATGTGAGAAAGATACATTGATTGGTTGCCACCTGCATGCAACCTGACCAGGGCTGGGGATTGAGCCTGCAACCAAAGGTATGTGCCCTGGATCAGAATCGAACCTAGGACCCTTCAGTCTGCAAGCCGAAGCTCTATCCCCTGAGCAAAACCAGCTTGGGTCAATTTTTTTTTTTTTTTAACAGAACAAGTTGGGTCCTGGCTGGGTAGCTCAGTTGGTTGGAGCATCGTCCCGAGGTTGTGGGTTCAATCCCTGGCTGGGGCACAAACAAGGAGCATAAATAAGTGAAATAAATCAATGTTTCTCTCTCTCTTTAAAAATTAATGAATAAAAAAATTTAAAAAAAGAACAAGTTGGGGCAGGGATGTTCTACTAGTATTTGGCAGACACCAAAAAGTTTTAGTGACGGTAAAGTGTGATAGAAAAAGGAAGAGGTAAAAAGATTAATAGAACAGCATAAATAATTTAGAAATGGACTCAGTTACAGAATTTAGTTAATGGGCATTTAAAATTAATGAGGACTAAGGGACTAGTTGAATATGGTGCCAGGACAACTGACTATGCATGAAGAAAAAAATGTAGATTCCCATTTTCAATTTATTTCTATTTTGAATAAATAGAAAATTTTAAAACTAAACAGGAAAAACAAAGCTGTAAAACTACAAAAAAATATAGGAAAATCTTGGGGGAAAGAAGGACTTTGTAAAGCAATAAACAAGTGAAGCCACATATTTTCTTTCTTTTTAAATATATTTGAATACATTTTTTTAAAAAAATATTTTTATTGATTTCAGAGAGGGAGGGAGGGGGAGAGAGAGATAGAAACATCAATGAGAGAGAATCATTGATCGGCTGCCTCCTGCACGCCCACCACTGAGGATCAAGTCCGCAACCCTGGCATGTGCCCTTGACTGGAATTGAACCCGGGATCCTTCAGTCCACAGGCTGATGCTCTATCCACTGAGCCAAACCAGTTAGGGTGCCACGTATTTCAAAAAGCAAAATTTGTATACAAAAATAGAAAAATTCTATTTGACAAAAGAAATTATAAAGTCAAGCAATGAACTAGGACAAGTATTTGAAATGTATAAAGAGGATAAATATATACCAAGGCATGCCACCTCCTGCATGGAGACCTTTGCTCTCCACTTGTCAGTAATGTTAGTTTCCCAGATGCCCAAAAGGCAGTACCCTCCCTACCTTCTAGCATGACTGTAAATGTCTACTCAGGGAGGTTCTCCTTAACACCACCTAAATTGTAAATTCCCCCTGCCTCCTTTCCTCTTGGCCCAGCTAGGGCTTCCTTTTTTAGTCTTCCCTGGGGGAGAGATCTGCAGATCCCCGACTGGACAGGTGAGACAAATGGCCTGTGGCAGGTGGCCCGCAAACAGCCTCATTCATGCCTTGGAGCTCCTGCTTGGTTTCAGCTGCACACTCCTGAACATGAGGACACGGCAGTATACTCAAACATCAGAGAAAAGGTCACAGTGAGAAAGAGAGGATAAAACACACACACATCCCAAAATGCAGGGAAAAGAAAATTGGAAAGCAAACTTCATAAATAACCCGAGTTGAGACATAGTACTGCATTGAACTATGTATGCAACACTGCAAACTCATGACAGGGAGGAATGCACTCATTTCAGGTGTCCTCTGACAGGGAAGGGAATGAGGTGGTGAATTTTCAGGTCTGGTGTCATTTTGTTAATTAAAAACAATCTGAAATAAATATTACAAAATGTTAAAATATACGAAATACTAGAGGCCCGGTGCACGAAATTCGTGTAGGGGGCGGGGTTGGAGAGGGGCCTCTCAGACTGGTCTGCACCCTCTCCAATCCGGGACCCCTCAGGGAATGTCCCACTGCCGGTTTGTGCCTGCACTTTTAACAGATGACAGCTCCATTGTTGTTTCTTTTTTATGCTTAAAACCATTGGAATTAGTAGGTATTCAAAGTGTGTATACATTTTGGGGGGACACCCTGTATATCTCTAGTCAGTGGTGAAAGGAACCAACAGCGGATTTGGAACCCCCAGACAGGGAACCTCGCTCACTCCCTGCATGTCTCCCCACTCTGCTTTCCACCTTCACAGGCAGCGGGAGAATCAATGTTTTCTCTCATTAACTCGGAAAAGCACATCCTGTTACCTGCTGCCCGGTAGGAGTGCGCTAGGACCAACTCGAGCGAGGCTCAGTCAGGGCAGCCTTCGCTCATGGTGCCGGCACCCGAAGTGCACATTCCTCCTCTTCAGTCACCCCAACTATCCCACCGTTTCACTGAGGACGGAACTCCTCACCTCCTCTGGGTTCCCGATCTTGAATGCTGACCAAAGGCACCTCAGCGAGGGCCGCCCGCGCCCACCAAGTGTGTTTGTCTGTACTGCCTCCACCTCAGCACCTGCATTAGCCCCATGGAGGTGATCTCATCACTGCACTAGCCTCTGCGGGAACAGGGCGTCACCACTCCCCCCTCTCACTGTCATCTCACAGGCACCCAACCCCAGCACCCAGAACACCGAGACACTCTCCAAAGGACGTGAGCGTGCCGGAAGAGAGCATGCGCCATGGTCCGGGACTGTTGCAGGCGTGCGTGGGTGACAGCGTGCTGGGGATGTTCACACGCTGGGGGGGAGGAGAGGATGCACGCACTGGAGGCCTGCAGCTGTGCAGATCCGCAAACCCCTGTGGTGCGGCCAGGAGGCGTCAATCTGGCCCGCCACAGTAGCTGTCCCTCCAACCAAGGAAGCCAAGCCCCCCGCCTGCGCGCACTCTGGGTGCTGGGGCGACAGAGGAAGCCAAGCCCCTTGCCCCGCGCGCTCTGCTGGTCTGGCTTCCTCGGTTGCTGGGGTGACGGAGGAAGCCAAGCCCCCCCCCCTTGTCCACTCCCCTCCAGTCAGCGCCATCTTTGTCATGTCAATTTGCATATTCCCTCCTTATTGGCTGTGGGTGCCTCCATCTTTATCACGAAGTGACGGTCAATTTGCTTATTACTCTTTTATTAAATAGGATAGGTAGTAGGTACACGGGCATTTATTTTTTTCAGTATAATTTTTTTATATTTGAAACTGTTCATATTTAAAAAGAAAATGAGATTTCCCCCATACCTGTCAGTTTGGCAAACATTTAATTACTAGAGACCCGGTGCATGAAATTCGTGCATGGGTAGGATCCCTAGGCCTGGCCTGCTATCAGGGCCAATCTTCCCTGGCTGCCAGCAGCCGGTCCTGCCCCCCGCCGGTTGCCCTCTGTGTGTGGGGCGAATGGCGGGGCGATCGGGGCCCCACTCACACTGCCTTGGCCTGGTGCCGCCTGTGTCCGTTGCCACCCACTCCCAGTTCCCTGTTCCCCATTGGGCGATTGGAGCCTGCTGGCTGGGGGGAGGGATCGAGAGGTTGGCTGTCAGGCCCTGACCAGGTGATTGGGGTCTGCGGGCTAGGGGCAGCTTCTGCATTGAGTGTCTGCCCCCTGGTGGTCATTGTACATCATAGCGACTGGTTGTTCTGCCATCCCGGTCGATCTGCATATTATGCTATTATTATATAGGATAATATGCAGTATTAGCAGGACTTTGGGAAGTCAGTCTCATACACCATGGTGGAACTAGAAACTGGAAAAGCCTTATTTTTATTTATTTATTTTTTAATGTTCACCTGAGGATATTTTTTCCATTGATTTTTTAGAGAGAATGGAAATGAGGGAAAAAAGAAGGGAGTGAGGGAAGGAGAGAGGGAGGGAAAGATCAATGTGAAAGAGACACATCCATTGGTTGCCTCTTGCATGTGCCCTGACCAGGGCCAGGTATCGAACCTGCAACCTAGGTACAGGTAATAAAACCCAAGACCATTCAGTGTGTGGGCCAATGCTCTAACCATCAAGAAACATGGCCAGGGTGGAAAAGTCTTTTTAGAGGGCAATATGGCAATATCTCTGTAATTTTTACAGGTACACAGCTTTTGTCTGAATCATTAATTACATTAAAAATAACCTATAATCCAAGAGTCTTCTTTTTAACTCTTTGTTATAAGGAAGTCAACTTCTTCTCATGATGAGTTGGAGCTCATTAAGCAAAGAGAGAGAGAGAGAAAAAGGAAAGATAATTACAAAGTGCAAGAAGCAAAACCAAAACCAAAAAAAAACAGGGCGCATCCCCGAGGGGGTTGGAAGATGGTGGCAGAATAGGTGGATCTTTCTCCCACTTCCTCCCAGAATCTAACTGGAATTAAAACTAAATTGGGGAATATTCACCCTGAAATATAGCTGAAGATTGGCTGAAGAGACTTTTGACCAAGGAAGGGCAGAAACCACCTTGTGACTGGTAGGAAGGGAAGGGACACGAGAGGTGCTGGCCTAGCACCCAGGAGCAGTAGGCCAAGAGTGATCACGATTCCCCAGAGAGGAGAGAGGCCTGGACCCCAGGCAGGGCTCCCCATCATGGAGAGCCAGAGCTGGGAACAGTCACCCATGTGGCAACTAGTGGCCAGGGCTTTTATCACCCAGGGAGCTGAGCTGTCTGGAAACAAAGCCACTTTTTAAAAGGGCTGGCACACAGGAGTTTCATTCCCAAAGACTCACCCTAGGCTTTGTTGAAGGGAGGGCGGTGTGGAAGGAGTAGGGAAGAGTCATAAGGAGAGAGGCTGCAGGGATACCCGTGTTGAGTCACCCCCCACCTCATATGGCAGCAGCCATTTTTCCTGAGAGGCACAGGCCCTTCCCAACAGCAGAAGCCTGCCCTCCGGGATACAACTCACCCCAAACTAAGGAATCCCACTAGCACCACCTTCTGTAATCTAGT